GCAGGGACTGACTGCAGGATTTTGCTTCCTGAAAATTGGTTGCTTTTAATGGTGGGTGTAAGTTACCCCCACCTTTCCTCTACTGGCCCAAAGTATTTTGTATTTATAAGTTTTATATATAATATATAATATTTGATTGGGCCAGCTGTTGGGCTACTCTGCAGATTGTGTAGCGTACTTTCTTTTTTTAAAAGAGTCTCAGTTCACTTTAATTCTATAAATCATTACATTTTACACAGATGTTTATAAGAGTATTGAAAGCAAACATCGTGGAGGGAGCATTTCTGTCCTTCAAACACCATTTAGCCCATTATCGTCATCCTTTTTTAGCAAGCTTTTATAATGATGAAAGGATCATAGAGATGCAGTGTACAATGCCCTGAATAGAATGAGTTTTTAGATGTGAATTTTTCTTCTCTTCTGTGTCCCCAGTATGAGTGTAAGTAGTGTACTTCATCTTTACAGATGTGAAGTAGATGGTGTTGCAGATGCTTGTAACCATGGAAACGTACTTATGCTGAGGAAGAAGTAGATTCCAGGTTTTATGAAGTCTGGTTCCCCATCAACCGTCTTCTAAGGCCTTGTCTGCAGTCCAGATGGGAAGTGTTATGGAACACATGTATGCCTACTCACACACTAACTTTTGATACAGATTACTCAGTAGCAATGCAGAAACAGCAGCACAGATTTCATTCAAGTCTAGCAACCAAATTATATACCCAGGTTCCCCAGTAGTCAGGCATAACCTGTATTGAAATATGTGCAAACACCATCTTACCTGCTGTTGTTTAGTTAGTGTAGGTATTCCTTACCATGCTGCAATTGCACTTCCAGTCCAATGTGGACATACCATACTTTGGCGGGAGAAAGCATATTGAGTGCATCATTATGTTATCCATCCAGAAACACTGCCCCTGTCTCTTGAGTTAAAATGTATGCATTTAGTGCAGAATTCTGTTTCACTCTACTGAAGTGGTGCTCAAGCTTTTGGCCCAGCAAGCCAAATGAGTGACATGGAGATGATTGAACAGCTGGATAGACTCCTGCATAGCCCTGGGGCCTATGCCACCCTGCCTGGCCCCATGTGCTGGGATGGGGCCCAGCATGCCAAGAGTGGATCCTGGTGGCCTCCACTTCCCCTGCCTGGCTCTGCATGCTGTCAGCCCTGCATACCAAGATGAGGCACCTGATCTAGCACGCAGGATTGAGGGCTCCCCATGGCTCCAGAAATTTAACAACAGGGGAGTAGCACCACTGCTTCCTCGCCATCAAATTTTTGAATGTGTGGGAAACCCCAGGGGTCAGATGATACTGTGCTGCAGGTTGAGCATCCCTCCCTTAATGGATAATCAAACTGGAGCTTGAGACCTAACTAATGCTGCATCACCCAACTGGAGTGCAGGAGTGGTTCTGTTACCCGATCTGGGAGATCAAGTACCCCCCCTTATAGGACTAGGTTTGCTCATTGGAGACATGCAGATGTTCCCCTGTTCCTCTCATGGTGGCTCTTGCACACCCAGAGGGGGTGATTGAATTGCTCCTGCACTTCAAGTGAGTAACACAGAATTAGTTTCAAGCTGCCCTTTGGTTGTCCACTAGGTGAAATTGATTCTCCCCTAGTGACTACTTGTACACATACTGCAGCACTTTTATAACAAATATGTTTATGTGGCATTTTGTTTAGGAGCATTTCAGCGTGTGCGTTTAAACTCTTGCGTGGCATTTGGGTGCTGGACTAGTTTGTTGGCATTTCTAAGCCTCCTGGAATTAAACTAGGAAGTGCAAATATTTTTGTTACAGACTGAACAAAGGATTTATTTAATGTTGGTGGTAGAAAATGAGGAGGATATGGGCTTGGATCCACTGTGGACTTTCAGGTGCACCTTTGGAATTCTCTCCAGTTATTTTGTCGTGGCTAGTTTATCCATAATTTACTGCTAAATTCTGTTTCAGTATTTTAAAGGAGTTATGGAAAAACTGACTCTCAAATGTGCTAGTCCTTTACAGCAACTGCCTGTTTTTATAGCACCGCATATGGCACTATCAGTAAACACAATTATCTCCATGTCTCAAGTGGCAATAAGTTTTCAGGTTAATAGAAACCAAGATTTGCCTTTTTTTTCAAATCAAACTTTTGTTTATTGTGAAAAATACATTTTGTATTATTGGATAATTCTGAATTTACCTTATGTTAATTGTACTGTAATGGGATATTATTATAACTTTTAACACAGTGCTCTGATCCTAGAGAAAGAGCTTTTATATAAACAAGAAAATCTGTTTGGAAAAAAAATCTATGAGTCTACGCCATATGATTAAGGAGTAAATATATGAATACATTTGTACTGGTTTGGTCCTGTTGATTAGATTATCTATAGTCAGTCACACTGTATCTAACTAGCTATAGGTTTTGATTGACCCTTGTCAGTACTGAGTAAAATCCAACCAGTGGTAATCTTGCTTCTGCAAAAGTAGAGGAACAAGTGGGAGTTCATGTGGGGAAGGATACCTCAAATCAATTATTATGACAAAGGTTTGAGACTTCCTGTCATTTGGCTGAATGTGTTAAGAATGGCCTAAGTTTGAGACTGATCTGGTAGTTAATGGAATGTGTTCCTTGTTTTGACCCAAGTGGAGCTAGTCTTGGTGAAGGGGAAGGTTTTTTTTTGATAAATTTCTCATTTGGAGAGATGGCACAGTTGTCAGAAATTTTTCAGTAGCAGCCACTATACAAAAGGCTTGCAATGTAACTTCATACTTTTGTGCTTGTACCCTTCGCATACTCTTCTTTGGGGTTTATGTCTGATCTGGAGCTTTGCCTGAAGGATAAATTTCTTTTTGTTTGTTTGTTTTGGACAGACAGCAAAATTTGAAGAGAATGAAGAAGAAAATATCTTGTACTTAAAACAATGTCAGCAATAACAAAAACCCATCCTCTTAAAGTACATCAAAAACCTGCTATATTTAGAACATGCCTCTTGACATGGGGAGCCTCTTCTAGCTCTTGAAGGAAGGTGCCGTTGTTCAGGGGTTGGCACCCTGCAGCACATGATACAAGTGGCATGGGCAGGCTATGTGTGGCATGTGGCAGATCAGGGAAGGGAAAGGCAGCACAGCAGTAAATAGGACAAGTGGCAAAGTACAGCAGCAGATCAGGCACGGATTACAGGGCCTGGAGCAGAAAACAGAGCAGCTGATTGGGCAGAGGGAAAAGGATTGGAGTAGCACTTGGGGAAGGTGTGGGGCTAATTTGTGGTGTGCCTGCCAAAACAGTTGGCCCCCGCTGCCCTAGTGTATGGTTGTCATGAGTAAATGCAGCAAGAGAGTAGATGATGTGTAGCAGTTAAGCCTGTGTGCACTTGGAGGGCAGGCTTCTTCCATTTCAAATATGTGATGAGTGTGCATGTCATGTGTGCACGGAGATTTCAGGAAATGGGATGGAAAATTCCAGCTGAACATTCAACTATTACGTTTAGGATAAACCTTCATAGTTTGCTTTACTCTTCCTTAAATAAATAATAAACCCATGGTGCTAGGGGAAGATAACAAAATATTGATTGTATCTAATCTTTCTTCCAGGAATTTATCAAAGAGCTGCTAACTCGGATAAGAGGAATGAGGAAGCTCAGCCCCCCTCAAAAGAAAACTATATAACTACTTGCCATTAGCACTCCACAACAGACAGCAAGGGAAATGGGACTTCGACTACAAGACTCTTATTAAAATAGTTGTCTTTCTCTGCAACGTTTTTTGTTTCATTCAGTTTTGACTCTTATTCAAGGGAGTTCTCATGTATTAAGATTTTTTTTTAGGTCTCTTTTTTTTTTTTTATCAAAGATTCCAACATTTTGGATGCTGGTCAAATATCACATGAGGATTATCAAAGCAGGAAGAATCCAGGAATTAGTGACTGCTTCATGGCAAAAGATGCAGCAATCGGAAGAACTTATAAACTTACAGAGCTAGGAGACTTTTTTTCCCTTGCAGCTAGTTGGTAACACTTATTTTTAAAGTTGGTTGTACATTTAACTCATGGATGTCAAGTTTTCTCATGCTTGTATGTACATACACTATTGGGTTGTGAATACTGTTTCACATGACTGGAAGGAAAGTTTGTGACAGTAAACTATTAATTGTGGTTATTGCAAATTTGTTATGAAAAAAGCAACAGTATAGATTACTGAAATGAGTGCTACCATCTTCTAAATACATTTTAAAACAGCAAAGTGAAAAACTTTGGCGTATCTTCTTAGTCGGAAACTGACGTGAGAAATGGGGAATTTTTTAAGGGCTTAATTTGTAGACTTTGAATAATTTTATTGACTGATGCTTTGCCAGATCATTTCCTCTCCACCTTGTGGTGTTTTTAGAATTGTATTAACCTACTTCAGGGGTCAGCAACTTATGGCCTATGGAGCCTTTTGGATCTGGCCTGCGGAGCTGTGGCTTTGGCAGCCTTCAGTGGTGGTAGCGGGTGGGGGCGGGGGGCCTCTGCCTGTGCTGCAGCTGGGCACCCAGGGCTTGGGGGAGCTTTCGCTTCACTGTGCTGCAGTTAGTCTGCAGGGGCTCCATCAGAGGGGAGCTCTTCCTGCACCTACAGTCAGGCAGTGGGAAGAAGTGGTGGAGGTGACTGGGTCCCCGTACCTGCCCAACTCCGACCCAAACTGGGTCATTCAGGCCCCTTCTGGAAAACATTGCTGACTTCTGCCCTGCTTTCTAAGGGCCTGGTGTGATATTTAGAGAAATGTACATCACCCTTTGAAAGATGCTTCATAATGGGGAAGCAGGGGGGAAGCAAGTGCTACCTAAACAAACTAAAAGCAGTTATCTTGCCTTCAGTTATGGGGTTTAACCAAACAGATTCCTCTCTTAGTGAAGTAGGTGAAGACCATTTGTTTTAGAGCTCTGTTGTTGGAACGTGGGCGGGGTGGGGGGTCTTGTTAGCTTTGAGTCCTCGTTATTTGTGAAAGCAAGAAGAAAATTATTTCAAGAGATCATTGTCTCTCTCTTCTGGAAAATGTCTTTAACTAGGATAACTCCATAAGCTACCATATGCCGGTAGATGACAGTAGTCAGGCATTTTTTTTAATCAAGGGTGCTCTGAACATATTTTATTTTTAAAAGAAGTACATGTTTGTGAATTTTATGTATACTGGCAAGCTTTTTTTAAATGTATTTAATTTTGTAATGTTTATCAACAATTTTATTTACCAGATATTTACCCAAATAAATGGAACAACTTGTGACTTGTTGCATATACATTTTACAAAACTACTGTTACTAAATATACTGACAAGTGATGTGGATGCATAAACAGCAAAGGAATGGATTGGTGAATATCCATCAACCCAGCGTAAACTAGCCATAACGCAGTAGCTTTAAAAAAGAATGACATTACGAAGACAATTTTGAACAGTTCTTGTTACCACGAGAGCTTTTTCCAGTGCAAAGAAGGACAAGCTATTCCTCATCCCTCCTTTTAAAGTTTGAATGTTTCTTTCAGGAAAGCTTTCTGCTGCTTTCTCCTTAGAAATATTAGGAACATAAAGCTTATTTTTCCTGTTGTGCTCTAAGATAACCTAAGGACTGGAGTCGGGAAACCTCATAGTAACTGAAGGAATGCCAGTACTGATTTCTTTTTTAATGGGCCTTTTTTTTTTTTTTTTACTTCCCAAGCATGTGTAAGGAATTTTGGTAAATGTTAAGAAGAACAACAATTTTAGTCAATGTTAAACTTGGGTTTACAGCATCTCCAGGTTTAGGTCTTACCCCGTTTGGTGTCACAATCTAGATCTTCAGCTTTCCAAGGAGTTTTACAGCAAAGATAGAAGTTGAAACTTGAGGTGAAATCCTGCACCCAGTGAAGAAGATGGTGAATGTAGTTTAAGATTTTGCCCTTGACCTTCTACTATTTGTGACATTAGCCATGTCAGTGAAAATCTTCCAGGTCTCAAAGAAGTGCGATGTTAGCCTTCAAGAGGATCAGCACCATGGTTAAAGTCACTTGACAAGAGGTGACTCCTTAGAATGCTTTCCTAGTATGCTGATTGCCTGTAGATTGTTGTCCTTCTCTATTAGTTTTAGAGAAGACAAACTCAGATGCAAACCTTTAACTTACTACCAATACTCATAAGGCCTTTTTGTGTGTTAGACTTCACTAATCTTTGCAGTTAAAAATCCGGTCATGTTGTTTTGTGCTGAAATTAATCACTTATTTACTCAGTGCTGAAAAGGACTCTCTGTGGAAGTCCTTCCCTTGTCTTCAACATTTTTTACAGGAAACAGAAATGTCATGTGTCTGTCAATACCCAATGAATAGATTTTGGTGAACTGTTGGCAGTAAGAACCTCTCCAGTGCAGGTGACTTGAGTGATGTTCAGACTCAACCTGTGGGGTGGATTTTTTTCAAAATAAAGTCCCCTTGCATGAATGCAACTCCCTTTAAGCTCCAGACTTTATTTATTCACATGCCTATAACAGATGGGCTCTATAGATGTGCAAATTCCGAATCTATAGATTTGCTCTATAGATGGGTTCTATAGAGAGTTCTGCACAATTCAGAGTATCCATATATGCTATCCATATATGTGTAGCTGTCTTATATCTAGAATCACACCCCAGAGCTGAATGCCCTGCGTGATCTGCTATTTCAAGTTCACTTGGGTCTATACAGATTTATTTTTAAGTCTGGTAAACTCTCCAGTACTGTGATAAAGTATAGCAGGACTGAAAATATACCAAATTACAAACATATAGGTAACATAATGACTGTCTTTTATTTTTCACAAGCAGTGAGTGACACTACTTGAAAATATAAGTAAAAATTATGTACAAGGTCACTAAATGTTAATTGGCCAGAAAGGGGTAATTGCTCTTTTCAGCCTTAATTGCATCCTTTGTGCTTTCTTGAACTGCACACTGCAGGTGTTGCTGGAAACAATGCTATCATGTCTGTAGAAACAGTCTGTAAGAGAGAACCCATGCATTTCTAAAATCAAGAGTAATAACTTGCTATTTTGCCCAGTGTGTGAACACAGGAGAGCCAGTGCTGAAAATGCTTCTCTCTCAAAGTGGTGGTAAGCAAAAATGAATTTTAAAAAGCCTTTCTTTGCAGCTGGTATAACTAGCCTGGGGAATTCTAGAGTCTGATTCTCCTTTCTTTCTCTTTAATACAGTTACTCTTGGCTCTCTGGTGCAAGGTGGAAAAGAATCAATAATGCCAACTCTTGCAAAATATTGCGAGTTGTGATTTCTAAATAAAATGAAGTCTGACTCATGATCTCACAATAGAACTCTCAAATCTCAGGATTTTTCTTCTGGCAAGTGTAGAGCAGCACCCAACAGGTAAGTCTGGGAGGGGAAGTGGTGGGGGGCAGGGGTGAATGGGGGCTGGGGCAGGTCATGCGACAGAGCCACAGGCAACTTGTTCAGAGGAGCTGGTTGGGGGGGTAGCTCCCCGCCGCTGTGTGCATCCCTGGGGAAGGCATGGGGGCATGTGCCCCCCAGATTCGTGCATGGAGCAGAGGCAGGCTGCCTACTGTGAGCCCGGGCTTTGTGCCCTACTGCCTTTGCCCTGGGAGCCATACGAACCCATGATGTGCCTCCTAATGCTGGGTGAGCAGGGGATGTGTGGTGTGGCCAGTGCACAACTCCCAAGACAAAGACAGCAGGGTGCAGAGATTCAGACTGCAATGGGCAGACTGTCTCTACCCTACACACAAATCCAGGGGGCACATGCCTCCCCCAGGGGTGCGCACAGAGACAGGGAGCTGCACACCTCTGTGCCCCCCTGCATCTCTGGGTGAGCCACCCATGGCTATGTCACACAGCCCACCCCAACCCCACTCCCTTCTTCACCATGGGGGCCTTGATCTGCCCCCTCCCATCCCCCCCATTTCCCCTCCACAGACTCACCTGCTGGGCACTGTTTCTGTGTCTGGAAAGTGCTAAACACTAGAGCTGTACGAAATTTCAACAGCTGTTTCATTTCGAAACTGTTCTGACTCATTTCAAGGTCAAAACAGCAAAATCGAAATGAAACAAAGGCCATCGAAATAGCCTCAAAACAAAATGAGGCTAGTCGAAATGTTTTGAAAGTTGAAACGTTTTGACCATAGCACTAGGGATGGGAAGTCAGTCCAGCTGGGCTGACTTCCCATCCCGGCGCAAGATCTGGCAGGGGGTGGGAAGGCAGCCTAGTGCGATCTAGTGTGGGGGGTGGCGAGGCAGCTCAGCTGGGCTGTCTCACTGCTCCGGGCGTATTCTGGGCTGGCAAAATGGTCAAAACAGAGTCAAAACAGCCTCACTGTTTTGATGAAGCAAAACATTGAGGCTGTTTCGACTCAAAATTATATTCGATACAAAACGCTGTTCCGTCCAGACCTTGAAACTGAAGTTGGGATGGAACAGTGCCGTTTCGCACAGCCCTGCTAATCACACAACAGTCCGGCATATGTCGTCCTAATTGTAACAAGTAGGAATTTTTAATTTTTTTTCTAGAGCGTTATAAGTTGTAGTAATATAGTTTTTATATAAAACTCTGGCCTATTGGAAGTTAAATAAGTTTCCAATAGGATTTATAAACCAACGGTCACTATATCTATATTGACTTGTACTTCAAAAATGGCACCTCATGATTTACCAAGCAAATCTCTTGATTTTTAAGAGTTTGTCTCTTGATTTTTAACACGGTGGAGTTGGCAATACTGAAGAATCCACCCATTCACTTACCATATCTTTGTGTTTTACCTACCTGTACTGTTTGGGTGCTCTTGGCTTTCAACTGTGCTCAGGAGGCATTCCAATAGTATGCTGTTACTGAAACAACTAGAAATCAGGTCTTGCAAGCCAAGCTCTTTTGTGCCTTAACTAAACAGCTTGCAATAAAAAGGGTCAGTTTTGGCTGCAAAACAAACTTCCTTTGCCTTTAAAATGGCTAATGAACTGAATGGAATTGGTTCCATAACAAATGCACACTGTAGCAGAGTTTTTGTTTAGCTATTACTGTGCATCTCCACTACAAAGGGAAAGCTGCCAGCAAGAGGATCATTGGTTTTCAAGGATATACTGCTTGCATTATTCTACATTTAATGTTTGCCTTCTTTACTGAACTATTTAGCACCGAAGCAGTGTGGAATCTTCTACACCCCCGCCTCAGAATGCCTTGGTCATAGTAAGAAAATGTAAGGCTTTTGCTTCCAGCCAAACTTATTTCCATTTTTTTTTTTTTGAGGCCACGGGAGCAAGTAAGTCAATTCCTGTGCAAGAGAGGGAAACTAGGCAACTGGCTATTCCCTAAGCCTTCTTTCATTGAAAACTTTTCATAGTTAGACTCCTTTCACTTTTTTGCCTGCAGAAGTAAATTGTAAAGATGGCAAACACGAGAGGAGGAAATCTGTGATGCCAGGGCAAAAAGGGCTAGTATGATTATTTTAAAATAAATAGGTGGGTAGGCACAGGGCAGAACTTTCACCAATGCCATATTGGGAAGTAAAATGTATCCTGGAATGCTGCAGTTAGTACTGTTATCAACATCTTAAAAAAAAAAAAAGCTGAAGTGCTGGAGGGGGTACAGTAGAGACACAAATGACTTGATGGCTGGAAGGCCAGGTTCTTTGGGTGGATATGATATCTTTATGATATCTTTTATTAGACCAACTGAGTAGTTGGAAAGAAGTTCTTAGTAAGCTTTTGGGCACAAACACCGTTTCAGGCTTAGGAAGTCTCTGCTGTTCTGAGATCTCCAAGGAACGAAAGAACCTAAAAGTGTGACTGGATGTCAGTGAGAATGTAAATAGGTAGAAAGGAGGAAAACAAAAGGTAGAGAAGGGAAGGGAGGGGGAGAAATGAGGTGGGGGGGAAAGCCAAAAGTAAGTAAGAGACTGCTGTAGTAATTTTCCAAGGTAGAAGAGAGGCAGTCTGTGAAAAAGTAAATAGCTGGAAATTAGGAAGAGGAAGTCTGTACTCTGAGCTGTAATCTTGCTCTTGTAGATATGTGAGGCAGGCTTGGATGCCATCCTGGTGTGGGGTGTTGGTATATAAGCTAGTGACATCCATGGTGGCTAGGAGGGTATTACTGGGAAGGTGGTTTTTTAGTTTTCGCAGGAAGTCTGTTGCATCTTGGATAAAACTCGGTGTTTGGGTGACTAGCGGTTTTAGGATGGATTCAATGAAACCTGGTATTTCTTTCTTTAGGGTTCCATGGTTGGAAATTATAAGTCTGCCAGAGTTCCCTTGTTTGTGGATT